CATGCAAGTATTTTTTTCACTCTTCAGTTTCCTCATACACGCACCGTAGTTATCTCCTGCGATAACTACAGGGATTGTTTATATCCTCTCTTTGACGTCATTTGGAGAACAGTTCTTGATTCGGAGCAGAGTCAATCACAACCACCACCTCCCCTGAGTTATTTGCTGGAAAACCAGTCATTCATTTGTCCGCTATTGTTGATCAATAGCCACTTCGTTCGTTTTTACATAGCCACAGGGGTCTTGGCTGTACTTTTGTCAGCTGTGTGCGACCCGAACTTGGCTGGCCCAGGCGTCTATATCTCATTCTTTCCGTCCAGATCTCAGTCCTCTCTTTACAGCGACTATAATCTCTCTATGCTCTATATGTCTTGAGAAAGCTTGGTCCTTTCGTCAATATCAAGTTGATATATCTGTTTTGCGTTTTACGACCTCGTTTTCGGTTGACAGGCATAGTTTTCCGATATTTATCAATGCCTCCAACAATAGCAGGGCAGCCTCTGCTGCCTTTGATTTTTCTTTTAACTATTTGCAACTGTGTTCCAGCCACAGCATCTGCGTCGCAGTCAGATGCATCATTTCTTTCAGCTTTCCGGAGAGCAGCCCGCTCCATTCCACTCGTGATAACGAACAACTGCAGCGAGGCTATCTGGCCAGCCATTGCCTCTGAAGCTGGAACGGGCCCAGATATTGGAGGATTCGAGCTCCAACCCAAAGCGACCCGTAACCTGAGCGTCGGCCAGGATTGGCAGGGAAGAGTCTGGGGAAGGACAAATTGCACCTTCAATGCGAATGGGACGGGGCCCAAGAATGCTAGCTTAAGTACAGCTTGTATGACTGGCGATTGTGCAAGGGTTCTGGATTGCACCGTTACTGTAAGTACGAAGGTTTTGGATTATAATACTCTTTTACTGACAATGCGCAGGGCAATACTCCCGTAACTCTTGCGGAATTCAACCTCGAAGGAGGCCCAAATCGCGACCAAACTTTCTATGACATCTCGCTCGTGGATGGCTACAATCTCCCTCTTTCTATAATTTTTATTCCAGGCAATAATTCTCTTCTTCGGTCTATTCCGCCAAACTTGATCAATCCATCCTGCATTGCCACATCTGGACTACTTTCAGCAAAATCTCCTTTCGGTGTGCCCTCGTCACAGGCAACGAACAACACATTTCCTCTACCATACGAACCTTCACAATCAAACTCCACCGTGGAAAAATGGTGCCCATGGGAGAATCAACTCATTCCTAATCCTTCTCGTCCTGGAGACGGTGTATACCCTTACCCAGTCGACCACGTCCCTCGACCAGCCTTCAATCCCTGTGTCTCAGCCTGTAGTCTCACTGGACGTGCTGAATACTGCTGCACAGGTTCCTATGATGACGCATCGAAATGCCACAAAAGCTACTACTCCAGCCAAGCAAAGAGTGTATGTCCAGATGCATACAGCTATGCATTTGACGATGCAACAAGCACATTTAGTGTTCCCGCGGGTGGAGGATGGGAAGTTGTGTTCTGCCCTGCAGGAAGGAGCACAGATATTTTAAGGAGGTTAGGAGGTGTAATAGGGATGATGTCAGGTACAGGTGTCACTGAGGCCGTGAGGATGCAGGCAGGAAATGTTACGTTGTTGGAGAGTGTGAGCGGTGCTGGAAGGACGGGAGTTGGAGCCCTCTTATTTATTTCGGCTGTTTCCATTGCGGTTATGATGGTATAGTGTGATTACTGTTTCGGTATTTTTCCTCTTTTGTCTTTATGTCTCAATCTAGGTGTGATGACACATGGCGTAGTATTATTGTTAATAAGTAAGGGATAATGGTTTGGGTTTTATTTGATACCATAGATTCAGCTTGTACATATACCAATATAAACTAATTCCAAAGAATCAATGAAACGAAGAAAAGTAAATAAGAATAGAGAAGGAGCATCTGCGCCTTACAACGTATTACATCCACTGAATCCTTATTCGTGTGGAAGCCTGGGACAGCAAAAAAAGGAGCAACACCAAAGACGACAATACTCAATAGGTCAATGATAGAAAAAGGATATAAACTTCGTAGACCAGAAAATAATAGAAAATATAATCACGACAAAAGAGTTCGGGCCATACAGCTATCGCCTTGTGGCGTGTGCTGTATGCCCTACATCTCCCCTAATATTCAGTGACTAGCACTATTAGGATTGGTCCTTATCCCCCAGAAGACAGCAATTGACCTGACCGTTGGACCATAACGGCGCTTTTCGCTGCTCCATTATAAGATGGATGCTTATTTGGGTTTATATAGGATCGTGTGAAAAGGGGATATGGACGTGGAAGGTCGCTACCATGGTAGAGTCGGAGTTCGGGTTCGGATGGTTCCGATATATCCAGTGCAAGGTACCTGATACATGGATCATTGACGAAGCTTCAAGAACATTGACCAACTCTTCCATTCATGATCCCATCACACAAGCCAATCAGAATGAGAATCACATAGCAGATGCACATATTAGTGCAGATGGATGACATACTATTCTTGATTCATATGGTGGGCATATCCTCCCGTCTCATTGCTCCTTTGGAGGCATAAATGCACATAAGCAGCCCTGAAATGTTGTACGCTTTCTTTCTAACTATTCTCTATTCCAGCTATTAATGGCTCGTCATCATAACACTCCAAAATAATTATGTCTGCAGCATCAACGAGAGTTCTTGTGACTGGAGGTTCTGGTTTTGTTGCCAGCTACCTGACTTTACGATTGCTGGAACGCGGCTATACTGTACGCTCCACAATACGCAGCCTCTCACGACAGGACAGTATCCGCAAAATACTTTCTGGCGCCGGCGCTAAAAATATTGACCGGCTCTCATTCCACGAGGCAGATCTAACCAAAGACGATGGATGGGCCGAAGCTATCAAAGGCTGTACATATGTGCAACATGTCGCATCACCTCTTCCTGTGAATCAACCGCGAGATGAAAATGATGTCATCATCCCTGCGCGGGAAGGAACGCTACGAGTGCTGCGCGCTGCTCGAGATGCTGGAGTCAAACGTTTAGTTCTTACATCGTCATTTGCAGCAATTGGATATGGCCACGGTCAGCGGGAGGAGCCATTCACAGAGAAAGACTGGACGATTCCTGATGAGAATGCGGGCCTCAATGCATATCTAAAGAGCAAGTATTTTGCCGAAAAGGCCGCATGGGATTTCATAGAGAAAGAGGGTGGAAGTCTTGAGATGGCAGTCATCAACCCCGTCGGGATTCTGGGGCCAGTTCTCAGCCCCAGTATCCCATCATCAGTGGGAATGCTGAAAAAGATGATGGATGGAAGTACCCCAGGTGCTCCAAGAATATCTTACCCGGTCGTCGATGTGCGCGATCTTCCAGACTTATATATTTCCGCCATGACGGAGCCAGCGGCTAAGAATGAGCGTTTTCTCGCAGTTAATGATGAGGGATCAGTCTCACTTCTCGAGATGGCGAATATTCTCAGGGAGAAGATGCCAGATCATGCCAAAAAGGTCCCTACCAGGGAAATACCCGACTGGCTAATCCGCGTCGTGTCAATGTTCGTCCCAATGGCCAAGAGTATGTTGCCCAGTCTTGGAGTCATCAGGAAGACAGATAATACTAAGTCGAAAACGGTTTTGAACTGGAAACCTAGGCCACTTGAGGAGACACTTGTTGACACTGCAGATAGTTTGGTCAAGTATGGTGCTGTCTGATTTGCCTGCGTTTTTTCGTGAACTAAGAAGTAATGAAATGAGGGTACAGCTGTACCAGGATGAATGTGTTAATGTAAACATGAAAGGTAAGGATATTTTAATATAGATAGAAACGCCAAAGGAAAGAGTGAGTTCTCGGGATGTAGCTGCATTGGAAATTCCTAATATACCTTTATTCTTACATCGCTCAATCTACTCTCGCTGTAAAACAATAAAAAGGCCCATCATTCCAAGTAGGACTGTCTTTAACCAAGGATGTTCGGAGAGCAAAATGGTAACATACCCGACAAATGGGATGTAAGCCACCACACTCCCTATAACATCGGCTGGAACCAAGTAATCCTGTCCCTTTGCATACAGTTCAGTATCGTCCGCAGCGTTATTGTCACCTTTCGTAAGAAGTTTTGCTTTTGGTCTGAAGGTGCTGGTCGTCAGAGAGATAATGAGACTTTGCTAGCGAGGGGATTTTACCCATTACTAAATTTCCTAACTACATGATGAACGATCGGAATCGACTTATCCTTAACCTCATAAACGACAACATCACCAACATTGACACGAGGTGGATTGCTCCAGAGAAAAAGCAGATCACCGCGCTGGAAGGCTGACTCCATCGAACCGCTCAGCACAACCACAATAGGGCTTTTGCTCCCTGTAATAACAGATAGACCTTTCCACATCTAACTCAAACTGTCAGAAATAGCTGGATGACTTGAGTTAAAGGTGCACTCCATGAATGCTGTACTCAAGATTAGCCCAAAGTTTAATACTTGGGTAGCGGCCAGCCGCGGATTTTTGAGGCTCGACAGCATATTTCCTCCTTTTTTGGAGATTTGTCCAGAGCTTGTATGCGATTTGGATGGAATTGCTTTCTAAGTTATGGTAAGGTGTGTCGTTTCCGTATTGAAGTACTGTGGCTTGATGCGGGCTCCCCTGCTCCACCTAGAGTCGATCCCGGTAGGGAAGATGCAGCTACCTAACATTAGCGGCCTGTCAGTGTACATGTAGCCTGACCAATGGCGAGCCAATCCTAAAAATGCGAGCTTGACATCAAATGATGCAGAAATAAAATAAAAATCTAGAATGGTATATGGAAGTAGTATATTGCATCGAAACCGAAATACCTCACACATGAGTGGGATCAAAATATCAAGAGCTTTAGAAAACTGCCGACGTAGATCCTACGGAGTAAATGCGAAGGTGTGGGGTAGAACGGAACCACCACATCAAAGCCGCAATTGCAATTGGGAAAAGAGAGTCAAAAAAAATTCAAAAAAATATCAATCTGCTGGTCAATGTGGGGATCGAACCCACGGCCTTGGCGTAATCGTACAGATATTAGCACCACTGATAGAGAAATTAGTATGTGGATTGATGTGATGCTGTAGATGAATCTTACCGCTCTAACCAGCTGAGCTAATCGACCTTCTGATTGGTGGATTTGGAAATACTTCATTTATGAACGGACATAACTTAGGAAGCTGGTTCATATACTGTTCTGACGCCGTTCATTGCCATGTCAAATGGTAGATGTACTCATTTACTTGTTACTTTATACAATAAATCAAATTCACAAAATAGAAGTGTTTTGCAATTGCGAAATTTACATCGCGAACCTTATAGGTTGGAGAGTGAAGTACCGGCCATACCTGCTTATATTTCAAAATATAAGTTAAAAAATAAGTGAGATTATCACTTGAAAGGTGTAGTTTAAGGATATGCAAGGTAAGTAGTGTGACTAAACAGAAAAGTGCTTGGGACCGGACTATAGGCAATATTTGGATTGGATTATCTATCCTCTACTGCGTATCAATGGACCTGAGAAGCAATTTGCCAGTTAACGTTCCCATTCTTGAGGGGAAAGTAGCATATCTCTACATTTATAGAAGACCGGATATGACGCGAATAATTGAAACTCTCGTGTCCAGCGATCATTTTTACTTGGTGAAAGGGAGATCTATAAGTTAGATGTAGACGTAGAAATGGTAATACACCAGTAATCAATATTCTAGTACATGACTTCAAATAAATTATGAAATCACGGCATTGTGGCGTGAGGTGTGAAGTGTGAACTGGAACTGGAACTGGAACTTGTGAGATATACGAAGATTCAACTACAAGCTAACTAACCACACTCAATACTGTACAAATAGCAGAACTTAAATCAAAAGAGGAAAAAAATTAGCTAAAAGCACTACCTTCTTCTGCCATGCTCCCTCGGCTCTTCATATATCTGAGCCTCATACCGAACCCCTCTGGCAATGTAATAGTATCTCCGATCTGCTGATTCACTATCCGGTTGCAGGTCGACGTAGACTGACTGCCCATTTCGATCTTGATAATACCATCCCCGTCTATCTTGGTGTACAATGACCGGCCTTGTTGGAGTTGCACTTCGCGACCTCTCTGAGATGGTTAGCCCAGCAGTCCTCTCCACCAGCTCCTCCTGTAATCTACTTTGAGAGCGTGTAGCTGGTCTATTGGCGTCATCGCGCCGTGGACTGATTCGATCTCTGTCGCCTCCTCTCAACGCTTCTACACCTCGCGGCGACGCAGTATGCCCTCCTGTCGATCTAGATATCACTTTTGGGTCATCCGTGATATAGAGATCGGAGCTGAACGGACGACTGTAGTCGTCAGGATTGGGACTAACCCACTCTTTAAAATAATCCATTGGATAGCTAGCCCCGAATTCTCCTGATTTAATTTTCTGTCCAAGGAAATGGAAGCATTCCCTAAGAGATACCTTGCCATGATAACTTCGGGGCTCCTGAGACCGACCTTCCAGTAGTATGGTGCTTGTTTCAGTGGAAATAACATTAGAGTGCCACAAAACATATTTGCCTTTCTTCTCCGGATGTGGCTCTTGTTTGAAGAATACAGTCTCATCGTAATTTGTCCAGAATCCGTACTTGACCTTGAAGGTATACATATACCTAGCTATTTGACCTGTTTACATGCGATTAGCAAAATATATCTTGAGCTTAGCTGCCAAGAGAGCATGACCCACCAATATAATTTCTGAATTCGTACTGGTCCCGTTGTAGTCTCAGGAGTTGTCTAGTCACGTCGTGCATCCAGGGAGTCTTTGCTTCCCCAACTATTCGAAGAGCACCACGCTCAGTAAGGATACATATGTCAGGAATATCTCCCTTCTTGTTTCCAGGATTCAAGGCAGAGTCAATAGTTTTGATATCTCCGAAACGAGCGTCGATCCGCATGGTTTGGTATACCGAGGTCATTACGTGGCCCACATTCTGACCAAAACGTGCCACCACACTATGTTCGTCGCCACAGAAGAGTTGTTCGTGATAGGTGTGGTTCACATTACTCTTTGATTGTGGAGCGAAAGCTAAGATGTCCCTCTTCCACTCAGTGGCTAGAAAGCTTGACGAACTTTGCTTTCGAACTTTGTCCAGAACCCCAATGTTCCTATGAACACTGTTTTATGAGTTGAATCGTGCGTGGTGCCTCTGGGACGCAGTTTTAGAGCTGGGAGATGGTCTTGAACAATGTCTTTGCAATTTAGCTGAAGAGCCATGACTGTCGTATAAAGTGGATGGGAGTTTAGAAACGATTATATCAGATTGTGTTATTGAGGAAACTTTGACATTGCGACTAGAAGGATCAAGAGGGGGATACCTATAGATGGAATTCCTTAACTATGGAGTGGTCGACGAAGCCCACGCCAGTACCAACAGTCAGGCAGTAGAGCGGTTAAGACAAGATGTCTTCGAATGATAGGTGACGGGGACGAGTCATTCACATAAACCGCGATACGCTGTACTGAAGGAAATAAAGCCATGGGCCTATGAGATTGAAAAGATGAAAGATTCGTGTTGGAGTAATTCAAGGGCACGTTTCAAGTTATCATATAACCAACATGAATGTTGTTGGTTTAGATATTGATCCAGCGTGGAACTTCTCAACCGGCTTTTCTGTTGCCCATAACGTACGAAACTCACTTACAAAGATCTGTTTGATTTGATGCAAATTTTACCTCTAATACGATTATACCATTTGACACATCAATTATTTTGTGTTCTATTGATCCAGCTCATAAAAATATACTATGGCATTTTGGTTGACATGTTAGTTGGTGGCGTTAATAACTGGCCCTGGGTGCCCCCCTACCACCCCCTCGACAGCGCAAATAATTAAACACTTTGTGGTACCTCGGTTAGCGTCTACAGCCGCTCTGGCCATCTAGCTATTATTATATCCTGTTGTTGTTGCTGTTACTGTAGTACTCAGCTGATTGGTAACAAAGAGTAAATTTGAAATATAAGTTGCAGTAGACCTTTCTCTTTCTCTATGCATTCCAAAATTTAAGCTTGCTATAAAATGGGTCGCTACGAGTCAGGAATTATCTGGTTTGATGATGAAAGATTCATTGGCTCTGAAATAACGTTCCAGCAACCACACCTATCTAGCTGGAAACTTGAACGAAAAATCATCGAGCATGAAGACCTTGAGGTGGAAGAGTTTGCAAGCCCTGGTTGCTCTGAGGCCCGTGCCGTCTTCATATGTAAAAGCCGAGACGGGTCCAAGGAAGCAATCATGAGGATTAGGATGCAGTAATTTGCCTCTTTTTCTATCTTTTATGAAATGAAACCCTTTCTGATTCTATAATAGAATACCATACACTTCTACTCTTGGCAGAACCGCCACTAGTAGAGCAAAGCAAGCTACACATGGCTTACCCCCAATAGCTCGTATGGAGATCAAAGCTCTGGAGGCCCTTACTAATGCGAAATGTTCTTCTGCGCCTAAACTTCTTGCCTGGAAAGTAGACAAACAAGATTGGGATTCATGGGTCCCGGGTGGTTATCTTGTCTACGTTCTAATGGAGAAGCTTCCTGGGATCATCGTGGATGATTTCTTTGGCCTGGACCGGCAGGAGCGAGATGAGATGCGAAGATGTCTCAAGAGAGCATGGCTGTATGTTTTATTCTCCAAACAATACTATGTGATTCCTTCTAACGACCTTTAAGAGAATGTATGGAGTGTGGAGTCATCAACATTGATGAGGGGCTACGAAACGTCTTGTGGGATAAGGAGAATAGAAAATGGTACGTCGTTTGAAGAGCGGCTCCACATATACTAACTTACACTATTGAGTAGTTATATTATCGACTTTGAGATGTGGAAAACACCCACAGAGCGTGATGCCTGGGGGGATGACTACTACATAGGGTGGAACCTTGCAATGGCCCGCGGCAAGGCCAGCTTGGATGACATGTCCACATGGAAGTTATGAGAAGTTTTGCGGACCTGACATTTCCCTCCCTGAATAGCTCAGCATTCAATTGCTCACGAGTTAGCGGTGATGATAGCTACGATACCATGTATTATTATAGTTTTATTAGATGCCCATATATCACCACAGAATCATTGATCTATTAAGCTCAGCTACTTTATATAGATAGATATGTTGATTTTATTTGAAACGAGCTTCGCACAAAATCCATGTGTTAGTGCTCTTATAACAATCTATTCTTGGCAATCGAAGCACTGAGTTTATAGCTATACAAGCTGATAAAAGATCCACTGGAAGATTTATTTAATTCTGACTTTATACACATTTTTGAAGTATTATAGTTCTTAGGCCTCATCATCTGCAGTGGTTGAGTCTCATTATCTAGAGATCGTTTACCTCTTTGGAGGCCAGAGTTAGATAGCAACTCTCACAGCAATCTTTGAGCAAGCAGCCTACTGCCTAGAGCGAAAACAGTGGTGTGTAGACAACTTCTAGAAAGACAATAATCACACCTCTTATGATGACCAAAGTGTGTACGTTCTAAGAGGCGCAGAAAAATTCCTGTTAAATATTTCATATTTCATGTGTACACATACATCAACCCCTATCCTCCACCCACCGAATAATTGCTCTCATTCTTTAGTCATAAACCCCAAATTCTGAGTAAAAGAAACAATGAAGTGAAAAAGGCGATATTACAATTCAGAAAGGAGAATGAGTCGAACGAGGAATACCACAAGGACAAGGTAGAAGACGTGGAGGGTAGACAATACACCTCCCTCGTTTCCTTTCTTGTCCCACATAATATGTGAAATGGCCTCTCATTCTCAAACCCCTGACCTCAAACGTGAAATAAATTGTTGCTTAGTTTTAGAACAGTAAATGCCATCTCATTAGGAGGAGAGCATTAAAAAGGCAGTTAATGGATGCCAACCACCGCTTAGAAATAACTCAAGAGGGCAACCTAAAATATTTCTAACTTTAAAAAAAGGGAGCCAACCATGAAAATGCTGTATATCAAAAGAAAGGTAAAAATGATCAGAAGTGACAAAAGGGGGTTTTTGAAATACACCCCACCGCCACCTTCCTTTCCCACCTGCTCGCCAGAACACTTTTCGCTGTTAGACTGCAAGAAGGGGGCGCAACAGGGCTCAAAAATAAAAACA